GAATAACATTAGCCTTTAAAAAATCATATTGGTGCTGCTGTTGTAATGTCCCATAATTGGTTCAGCCAGAGGAAGAGCCAGAAAGGCCACACGATGGGAGAGGAGTTCAGCTGCTCTGCGGAGAAGCGGCAGCGACGGCAGCCTGAGCTGGGAAAAGCATTTATGAGATGCCTTCCTGTCTATGTCTTAGTGTGTAGTGTTTATGATCTCAACTGTTCTCAGGGCTGGGGATATTCTGGGACTTAGGTAGGCCGAAAGAAGTTCCTTTAAGTCTATCAGTCTCTCTTTCATTCTCTCATCCATCCATCCATCCATCCATCCATCCATCCATCCATCCATTTATCTCCAGTTAGCTTTCTTTTAACTAAAAATATAATGACATGGATTGGAAGTAAGTTTTCTTCTGCTTTCAAATCCCTCATGGTCCAGTCCTGATCTGAGACGCATGATTTCTAGTTTCTTTTGCATCCTTTCAGAAATCTCAAGTTTCTATAATCACACCTGACCCATTGTTCTGTACTGGGTGTTTTTGCACTTAACAATACCCTTGGGTATTGTTTCCTGGGGTGCTCTTAGATTCAGCTCATGCTTGTTATTGGCCGTGATGCTACCTAATTAGCCCCCTCTGGATGCCCATGAGGTTAATTCTGATGGTTTGCTATTACAAAGAATGTGGTACAGAGCTTTTTAGTATCTACATCTCTGTGGACCATCATATTGTTGAGTAAATTCTAGAAATCAGGCCGGGAGTTCTTTACATCTGGGCTCCATGCATGGGTGCCAAAGGGCTCAGGAGCCTCTTGATATTTTATGCAAAATGTGTGTCTGTTTGAAAGGCGAGGGACTATAAGTTATATTTCATCATACCCCAGATGGCTCCATAGCCCCAGTGTTGTTCAAGATCTTTGGCGTTTCTCTCTTACTTGCCCCACTCAGCTGTCAAGTTGAGCTTTTTCCTTATCTTCATAGCATCCTCTATAGGCTAAAGAGGAGGTAGTTAAGTGAACCAGTGGATTCTTTTACTAATTGTTAATTGCCCCATTTAAGTATGCAGTAAGTTCTCGGGGAGGAAGTTGAAATGTTACCAAGCATCAATGGGCTTGCGGCCCGACACACACAGAGGCCAATACCATGGCACTGGCTTTTGAGAGAAGAAACGCTTTACTGGGAGTCAAGTCAACTGGCAGGGAGATAGGAGGGAATGCTCAAATCTGTCTCCCTGAGCTAGGGGTTGGGTTGGATTTTATAAGCATAAGGTAATGAGGTGTGATCTGATTGGGTCTTGCAATGAGGTGATGTTAGGAGGCATTATCTGATTGGATCCTGCCATGGGGTGATGCCAGAGTTCAATCTGATTGGATCCTAGATCCTGCCTTTTGGTGCCTGCTTCTTAATTCAGTCCCACTCCTCTGTCCTAGCACTTAGGTTCCCCCAGTGATGGCACACTTGGTTCATCTGGGCATGCTTAGGTTACATGACCTGAGGGCCCGTGGCAACTGAAAAACAACTCACAGCTTTGTTACATAAAAGTTGAACCAGATTGATCTGATGCAGTTATAGATACTCTTCACTCATGAACTTTGTCATCACTATTATTATTGGTGAATTTCACTGATCTATTAGGTGGAAAATTGCCTATCATTTTGTGTATCTATGGAAAGAACAGGAGAGGGCATTATTTCCTGGGAGAGCAAGAGGTGGATTTACTTTAGGAGATTATTCAGTTGTGAGGCGCCATCTGTGCGTTTTCTGTAAATCTTTCCAAAGTGTTGAGGAGTGGGGGACGTGAATGGGTACTTAAGTCACGGAAGCAAAAGCTGCATGACACTCAGGTTAGAAACAGGTTTTTCTCTTAATGTCCTATTCTTACAGGGAAGTTCGCTTGGCAATCAGAATGCTACCTGTACACAGCCTTGCAGATCTGATGCAATTATGGAAGCCATGTTTTGCAAAATGAAACTGATGCCAAGCTGGTGTCAAGTGGATAACAGATGATAGAACTGTCGTCACTGGCCATTAGCTGAGCGTATTTGCTTTCAACACTAAAATCTTGAATTCCTCCTTGGTTCTGCTTCTGGTTTGCTGCGTGGTACTGTTCCTGTGGAAATGGTCTTGCAGGAGATTATTTTCTTTTCTGACTCAAGCTTCTGAAGCGTCTAACCCCAGATCGGCACTCCCAGAGCTTGTTCTGTTGGGGACCATGATGGAGTCTGAGAGCTCTTTGCTCCCCTTCTTCCAGCTTAAGGTACTCTCGCTTCTCCAGGTGCCCTCTTTTAGTCTTGTATTTGGAATCATCCCTTTCTCCCATTTTCCCTATTAAATATCCTTCCTTAAGTACTTCTGGAAAAAGATTTGACTGACTGAAGAAGAGGGAGATATTGACCTTTGACTTCATGTTTGACTACTGCTTACGTGTTTGTCTGTTGACTGTGAACAGCTTCTCTCTTTCAACAATGAGCCGAATAGATGGGTTTTCGCACTGGCCTTTGCAGGATTGCATTTTTAGACGTACGTGCGGGGCGTAGGGAGGGCAGCCTGGCTGCGTGGGATGCAATCTCTTCTCTGAAACAGCTGGTTCTCGCTATAAGCTCAGCCACGTGCATTCCACTCCCAGCTTTCCTTGGTCCTAAAACTGCTTGGAATAGCATAAGCCTAGGGAAGCAAAGAGGACTTATTTAAACAGCTTCAAGTTTCCCAGGCCAGTGCAAGGTTCCTGTGACCTTTCTTCTTCTGTATCTTCTAACTTGCCATGTCTTCTTGAAGGACATGTTCCTTTTGTCACTGATATTTCCAGTCAATTTTAGTGATCTTAAATTTGATCAAGAGTTAGATATAGCTCCTAGGAGAAATTCTGAGTGTTTCTAACTAGGTTTCTAAAATAATGTGTTTAGGGCAGTCTCTGAGATGTTATTAATTTTGACTTTTTATTGGTAAGATCTCTAAAAGTGAAAGAATATTTTCACAGTCATTCATGTAGATATAATTTCTTGGCATTAGGATTTTTTTTTTTTCCTTTTTCTGTACCTGCTTGGTTAGGAGAGACTTTAAAATCTTGTCCTGGCCCAATTGAGAGGAGTTACCTGGGAACTGAAAAACAGGTGGGCCCTGGCTGCTACCTCCTTTCTGGGCTGGGACCTATAACCTGGGTTTCTTCATTTAAAGTGTGAGAATGCGCCTATAATCCCAGCACTTTGGGAGGCCGAGGCGGGTGGATCATCTGAGGTCAGGAGTTCAAGACCAGCCTGCCCAACGTGGTGAAACCTCATCTCTACTTAAAAAAAAAATTAGCTGGGCTTAGTGGCACATGCCTGTAATTCCAGCTACTTGGGAGGTTGAGGCAGAAGAATCACTTGAACCCAGGAGGCAGAGGCTCCAGTGAGCCAAGATTGTGCCACTGCATCCAGCCTGGTGACAGAGTGAGACTCTGTCTCAAAAAATAAAAATAAAAAAGCATGAGAATGAAGCAAACCAGCAGTTAAAATGTGTCACACAAAAATATTTTGCAGCATGGCAAAGGGCTCAATCATAATAACTGTCAAGTGCTTTTTCACATCTGGATGTTAAATAAAATAACCAATCCAGAAATGCCTTCTTGGATGGGGCTCTGTGCAGGTGACATGACATTGTTCGTGTCCTAGCTCAGGAGCATTATCAGGGTGGGCACACTGTACAGACTCTTGCTTCTGAAGAGTGTTCTATTTGCCCTAATATGGAGCACTCAAACAGCACTTTCTCTGCTTCTGCCTTAAAAAAAAAAAAAAAAAAAAAAACTCAATGGTCCTAATATTCTAAGCCAGGCAGACATTTCAGAGCAAATTTTCATGTGGCATGGGGCTAGAGGCAATGTGGCACTTATGTGTGTTTGCTGGGGCTGCTGGAGCAAAATACCACAAACTGGGTGGCTTAAACTACAGAAATTAGTTTTTTTCGCAGTTCTGGAGGCTGGAAATCCAAGACTAATAGTTGGCAAGATTGTTCGGTTTCTTCAGAGGCCTTTCTCCTTGGCTGGTAGATGGCGGTCCTCTCCCTGTGGCTTCACATGGTCTGTCTTTTTATGGAGACAGGGTCTTGCTGTGTCGCCCCAGCTGGAGTGCAGTGGTGCGATCATGGCTCACTACAGCCTCCACCTCGTGGGCTCAAGCTGTCCTCTCACCTCAGCCCCGAGTAGCTGGGACTACAGGAGTGTGCCCCCGGGCCTGGCTAATTTTGGTATTTTTTGTAGAGATAGAGTGTTGCCATGTTGCCCAGGCTGGTCTTGAACTCCTGGGCTCACGCTGTCCACCCACCTCAGCCTCCCAAAGCGTAGTCTTTTCTCTGTGCTGGTCGGTGTCCCGATCTCCGTTTCTTATAAGGACACCAGTCATTTTGGATTAGGGCCCACTCTAATGAGCTCATTTTAACCTCATTAACCCTTTAAAGATCCTATCTCCCTTACGGTTACATTCTTAGGTGCTGGGCATTAGGACTTCAATATATAAATTTGAAGCAAGGGACGTGATTCACGCCATAGCTGCACTGAACAATTTTTTGAGAAGTTGTCTCAAAAAAATTGTAGTCAGCTTCAGGGAATTCCAGATGGCAGGAGAAAGGAGTTTTCTTTGTTTCCATCTTTTAGATTCTCTCTGGCTGCCTCCTTCTGTTAGTCTCATCTCTGTATGGGCTGGGATTGCAGAGTGTGCAGGATAAAAAAAAGAGTCGAATGAAATTCAAAAGTTACTCAAAGAGAGCAACGAGAAGGAAAGTCAGGGCTGGGCGCAGTGGCTCACGCCTGTAATCCCAACGCTTTGGGAGGCCGAGGTGGGTGGATCACCTTAGGCCAGGAGTTTGAGACTACTAGCCTGGGCAACATGGTGAAACCCGGTCTCTGCTAAAAATAGAGAAATTAGCTGGGCGTGTTGGCACATGCCTGTAACCTCAGCTGCATGGGAGGCTGAGGCAGGAAAATCCTTGAACCCAAGAGGTGGAGGTTGCAGTGAGCCGAGACTGTACCATTGCACTCCAGCCTGGGTAATGAGTGAAACTCTGTCTCAGAAAAAAAAAAAAAAAAAGAAAAAAAAGAAAGTCAGATGGCTCTAAGTCTGATGTTTTAAGACTGCTGGCAGGTGTACATCTGTGCTATCATGAAGTTAAAGGGATGAGCACTTCCACTGTCACCTGAAACGATTGGCCAGGTAACTTCTGGGGAAATCAATTACAATACACATCTGAATGTGTAGAAGTTCTCTCCTGACTGTGTAAGTTTCCTGTTGCTGTCACAACAAAGTACAGATTGAGCGTCCCAAATCCGAAAATCCAAGACCCGAAATGCTCCCAAATCCAAAACCTTTTGAGCGCCAACATGATACTCAAAGGAAATGCTCATTGGAACATTTCAGAAATCAGATTTTCAGATCTGGGAGGCTTGTGTGGTCAATAATGCTGGTAAAATAATGCAGATATTCCAAAATCTGAAAAATCTGAAACACTGTGGTCCCTTCAGAGGAGGGATGCTGAGACGTGAGTCCCACCGCCGCAGACGTCTGACTTGCAGACCCTAACTCAACGGTAAATGAATGAATGCACTCTCTCACACCATTACGGTGATACACGTGGGCTAGGGGATGGCTGCTGGCTGCTCTCAGACCCAGACCCTCTGTCCACACTTTATTCATAACAGAGGTTCCGAGGTAACACACTTGTGGATCATTAACATGGTTAAGAGAATGGTTTTAACACTGATAAGGACTTTAGGTTCTGGGACCCAGAGTAAATGCTATTAACAGGTAATTCCCCTTTGATCTTCCCTGGAGAGACCACCCAGCACAGAGTCTAATGGGTAAATAGTCAGAGTGCAGACAAATGGGTGTGGGCTAAGGCCTTGGATCATCTCCCTGTCTCCCTAATGAGCTGGCTGGCTGCCTTCCGCCTGCCCCAGTAAAACCTTTTGGCCTTCCAAAAGGCTCGAGACTAATCTATAACTTTCCCTAATATGTCTTTAATATTTTCTGTAATATTTTGCCAGCAACCCTGTGTGAGAATTTCAGTAGGATGCTTATCTTGTACTATACACAGAGTGGCTTGAAACAGCGGAAATATATTCCCTTACAGTTCTGCAGGCCAGAAGTGCGAAATCAAGGTATCACCAGGGCCACACTCTCTCTGAAAATTCCAGGGAAATTCTCTAACTGCTTTTGGCTCCCAGCATGTCCTGGCTTGTAGCTGTATCACTTAAATCTCTGCCCCCATTGTGACATGGCCTTCTTCTGTGTGTGTGTGTGTCTGTGTCCAAAACTCCCTATTCTTTGCCTCATAAAGACACCAGTCATTGGATTTAGGGCTCACTTGATCCTGTTTGACTGCTTCTTAACTACATCTGCAAAGACCCAATTTCTAGGTAAGGTCATCTTCTGAGGTTCTGGCTGGACATGGCTTTTGGCGGAGGACAATATTCAGTGCCGCATATTGACCAACCCCATACTCTGATCACACCATGACCAGACTTCAGGAGTTTGGTTCGTCTGAAGGCCCGTGTTTGTCTTGTACAAAGGAGGAAGATGGATAAAATGAGAGGAAGCAAGAGGACATGAGTCCTGGCGGTAATAAAAGCCCACTTAATTCGTCTGGAGCCTTTAGAGCAGCTGCCGGGGTGCTTTGTTTGAACTAGTCATTAAGTGTCTACTGAGGAGTTAGGAATACAGTCTCCTTATGCAACATTTAACATTTGCTTGGTTAGCAGGTTCTATCATATTTATAAGCGTTCTGACACATTCATTTCAGCTCGTAATTCTATTAAACTGGAAAATGTGTTTTTAATGTGCTTTAGGGAAACAGAACAGACAAGTGGCTTGGTAGCACCAGGCTTCATTAGGATATTCCTGCAGGCTTTTATTAGTCAAAGATTTAGGAGTGTGTGCCTGAAGCCACACAGCCGGGGTACTTTTCGCGTTAGTTTGCTTTGTTTTGCAGAAGTTATTTTTGCAGAAGCTTCTTCTGGGGGCACAACAGGGTGGCACGTTGGTTTTGAGCAGCTGGGATCTTTAGGAGTCCTTTCCATTTATTCATTCCCATGTCAGCCTCTTGCCTGTTGCTAAAAGTACCTAATAAGGAACAGAAGGCTGGATTTTAGCCTGTGAAGCTGGGAGGAAATTGACAGCAGTTACTGGAATAGGCTGCTTCCGAGAAGGAAAGGGTTAGGGAGGAAAACGTGGAACTGGGCTTCGGACCTGTGTGGAGCACACAGCAACCCTAACCTTTGGGATGGGGCCCATGCAACAGTTCCCTGAAGAAAGGAATTGGTGACATGCTTCACTCGACCTGCATTTGCTTTTTCCTGTTCAACCGTCCATCAACCTCCTCTTTGGGTAGCATGTATTCTAGCATCCTGTTCTGCTTTCTTCCCTCTGGTGTATTTTCCCTCCTGGGTCCAGAGAAAGAAAATGGCTCTGCATATCTGAAAACTAAATCAGTTGTCTCAAGGAAATATGATTTTGAGGGTCGTAACATTTTAGAGTTGGATGTTCAGGGATTTGCCAGCAACCCCCAGGTTAGGTCTGAAACTGAACTCACTCTCTCTGACTCCCGACTTCTTGATTACACAAATTCACCATGAGCTTGCTGGGAGGTGGAGGTATTCCTGGAGGATGGCAGGAGGGGGAAGAGCATGAGGTGGCCTCTGACAGCTCTTAGGTACAGTGAGCCAGACATCTTTGCTCTCTTCCCCAGGAGAGCAGGCTCACCTAGCGGATTCTCCTCACTGATCCATAGCAGGCCTCGGTGAGGTTTGCTCGAGTCAATCTTAGTGAATTGGTTGTGCCCTTTCCAGTAGGGAAGCCCCTGTTGTACACATAAAACCAGGAGACTCATGCCTTCAAGGAGATTCAGATCTCCTGGGGAAACAAATATGGGCCATTTTGTATGGTTCGGCGTGAAAGCTACGTGAACCATTAACAATTATCTAAGTGGGTCCCACCGCTGCGCTGGACTTCGTGGGCTGGCTCTCCTAACTCCTCTCTAGCCCAAATTATGCCTTTACTGCCTTACAACCCTTCTGAGACCAACTGGCCAGTGAGATTTTTTTTTTTTTTTTTTTTTTTTTTTTTTTGTTTTTTTTTTTTTTTTTTTTTTTTTTTTTTTTTTTTTTTGAGATGGAGTCTCGCTCCGTCACCCAGGCTGGAGTGCAGTGGCGCGATCTTGGCTCATCGCAACCTCTACCCTCCGGGTTCAAGCGATTGTCCTGCCCCAGCCTCCCGAATAGCTGGGATTACAGGTGTGTGCCACCATGCCTGGTTAATTTTTGTATTTTTTTAGTAGAGACGGGGTTTCACCATGTCGGCCAAACTGGTCTCAAATCTCAGGAGATCCACCTGCCTCGGCCTCCCAAAGTGCTGGGATTGTAGCCGTGAGCCACTGTGCCTGGCTGCCAGTGAGATTTTATTCAAGGCTTGGGGTAAATAACAGTAAATAACAGAAGGATATCAGCGGCCATGGCAAGGGCAGCCCTCAGAACACACGGGTGCTTACTAACCTCCTGGGACCCTCTAGCAAGGGTAGTGGGTGGGAACCGGGCTATGCAGCGGGAGGTGAGTGGTGAGCGAATGAGCATTAGTGTCTGAGCTCTGAGTCCTGTTGGATCAGCAGCAGCATTAGATTCCCACAGGAGCACGAACCGTATTGTGGACTGTGCGTGCGAGGGATCCAGGTTGCACCCTCCTTATGAGAATCTGATGCCTGATGATCTGAAGTGGGACAGTTTCATCCAGAAATCACCCCCTACTGCCTACTCCCCACCTCCCATCTGTTGAAAAACTGTCTTCTACTAAACCAGTCCGTGGTGCCAAAAAGGTTTGGGACTGCCGTTCTCCAGGGAGATTCCCTGTCTGGCTTCAGGGCTGGGTTTTTACTTAATTCCATATTTTCACAGGTAGAATTCGAGGTTTGTTTGTTTTTTCCCAGGTCTTCGGACCTGCCTCCCCAGGGAGAGGCCATCTCCACCACCTTGGATAAAGAAAGTGAACAGGCCAAGACTTGCCTTCCCAATTTCCATTGCCTTTCCTAGGATCTCCTATTTAATCCCAGGGTAATTGCCAGGGGGATTTTTTTTTTTTCCTTTTTTTCAGGTGAGATACTGCCATAACCCGTAGCTGTATCCTGCGGTCTCACCAAAACAAGAATGCCAGTATTCACCAGTTTATTAGTAATAAGCCACACGCCACAGTTAGATCATCTCGGAAAATGTGCAACTTGGTCTCAAAAGCCCTAAGAAATACAAATTGTAGGAGTCCAAGCTTGACGACCATTTCTTTTTTGTTTGTTTTGGAGACAGCATCGTACTCTGTTGCCCAGGCTGGAAGGCAGTGGTGTAATCTCCGCTCACCGCCGAGAACCACAGCCTCCGCCTTCTGGGTTCTAATGGTTTTTGTGCCTCAGTCTCCCATGTAGCTGGGATTACAGGCAGGCACCACCAC